TAAATTATGTGAATAGTTACTTTACTTGATTCCTATAAATATTTTACTGATGCATGGATCCATATGGGTCCTTACTATTAGCAAATGTAGAATTATGTATGTTATAACTTAACATAATAAACAGGGCACTAGCGGCACCAGTGGTAGGCTTTTTAGTCTTAGCCTATCCAAATGTCTTGTTCTTGTCCTCTCCAGTTAATGTTCTTTCTAAGGGGTAAATCACAATTTAAATGTTAGAATTATAAAACACAAATGATAGCCTAAAAGTCCTGTATAAAGGTGGTTAGTTGATTTGAAATCCCTTAGCATCATCACGCCCCGTGATTCGTAATAAAACACCCAGAGCGGTTTCACAGCATCATTCATTCACTTCATACGCAGTTGTAGTGGCCACAGCTGCCCTGGGGAAGACTGACAAAAACAGGGCAACCAATTTGTGCCATCCGACCACCCCCAATCACTCACTCATGGGGCCTGCCCTGCTTTAGCTTCAAGGATTTCACATGCAGGCATGGCCACTAAAAAAATGATCTCTCTCAGTAACATTGAACATATACATAGAAATAGTATTGGTAAATATGATGGTCCTAAAACAGGAGAAATATGACAGATTTTACCAATTTACTTACATGTATTCTTGTATAGCCCTAAATCACAACAGTTATCTACAGGAGGACTCTACAGAACCCCTGAACACAGATCAGAAAATCAAACAGTTGAAACACAAGATATAAAACAGGAAACACATTGGTATTGGTCTATAAGAGGCAGATGACCAATGCCCATAAGTGTTGATGAAGGTTGAGAGACCTGGATCATCACCCCCGTCCTTTTAGTACAGACAGTGAGAAATACACAGTATATATCAATGTTTGGGTGCACCGTAATCCCATTTATGAGCTTTTCGGTTGTTGTTATTTTTTCATGTTCTGCAAGGTACTTTCCCCAGTATGAATAAATATGTATTAGCAGTGGTAATATTTGCTACACTTGTGGTGAGCATTTCTAGGAGACTCTGAAGTCTGCGGCGCAACACGTCTCGGCTGTAAACATTATCAAGTAGATAGGCTTCCATTATGCGTGTGTTAAAATGCCTGTGGACCACAAGGAAGATGGCACTTACTGTCTGTTTACTATCTCTAAGCTGATAACGTGATGTGACGGAAGCAGACAAAATTGATTTAATCTCGGGTTGTGTCGTGTGGCAATGAATGCTAATTTTCCCTCGAAGATGTGATGTTCGCCGGGAATGGTTTGTTCTAGACATTAGTGTAAACCCTTGTGTTAGAGGGAATATGCCTCTTATCATTTCCCCTTTTGTCCCTGCTGAATAGGAGATCAAATGATTTGTGATTACACTGATGGGCTGAGATGTTCTTTCCTCCCCAAAAATGGCAACCAGGAAATGTAGTCTGCACAAATCCCCTTAATTATGCATACAAAAGTAATGATCTCCACTGGAAGGGTAAAAAAAATGTACGGTTTGGATTTTTAATTTAGTTCATGGCACATTGATTTGCATCTTGATTTTGCGTATGCCTTCAGTTGCAGTGACACATCCAGCGCCCGGACAGATTGCAGCCTGTAGGGAGCAGTGGTTGCTACATTGACTCCTATTAGTTTAAATAGGTGAAGTTTCCCATCGAGGATAGTGGGTGTGATGTAAAGTAGACATTTTTATTGACTCTTTAAAACAGGTGTGCTTTCTTGTTATTAGCATAATTCTGTCTGCAGTTTGAGGGAGGATTTTTCTGTTTCACTGACCACCTTTCTTTCACCTTCCATTTTTTAGTCTTATGTTGAGCCCACCAAAAATGTGTTACCTGCATTGAAATTCAACAATGAGAATACATGGTAAATACTAGAAGAAATAAAAACAGACAGAAAGAGTGCAGACCTCAGCCAAAAGGTAAAGTCCCATTCTTTAAGCCGCTGATCCTCCATGTGGAGCTGTCTCTGGGACCAATAGAGCATGCAATGTGTGTTAAACAGTTCCCCACACTCTTCCAGGTGCATTTGTTTTGCTTTTCCTTAATTATGTCAGATGTGCATAAGGATATAAACATGTGGTGAAAATAGAGTTTATAATGCAGCGTTTGTGGAGAAATGGCTTGTTTCTCTGTTTGATTTGAGTTCACAGACGCTGTGCTGACGCCTCCTCGTATCCCCCCTTCTCTGCCACGGAGATAATTTTGCTGTGTTCAAACACAAGTTACAGAGACGTATGAGAATATGTACTGTGAGTACCACACAGAACTGGAGAAGATCCAAAGGTAACCGTTTTTGTGCAATTCCTGCATGTGTAACATGTACAGTTTATGTACAGTTTATGTGAAAGTGTGAGTGACAGTGTCCCTCCACAAACTTGATTCTTACTATTATTTTCAGCACCAGTAAATTGTGTTATCATACAGAATATTGTGTTATTTTGGCTAATACCACAATGTTTAGCAATATTTAACAATATTAGTATTATTCGGAATAATTTAGAAGTCAGAAGTTGTAGGCTATAGTATGTGTGAACTTCCACTGTGTCATTTGTATACAAACCATAGTGTCACAATACAAGGTCTAACAGTGTATACATTTATTTATTTAGGCATAATTGTGGCTCTTGGCCCATTTATTAAATGAACAGAGCTTGTACTTAAAAAAAAAAAAAATGCCCTTGTGAGTTATTAGAACAGTAGACTCCACTAATGGGGACAAAGTGGAGGAACATAAATATATTTCTAATACACAGAGGACCCTTTTTTTACATTTAGCGAATACCCAAGCGACAGAATGAGCATACTCATCCCTGAACTTAGGTCTGGGAAAAATAAGTGTGTCAGAGTTAATTACACATGCAGAGTAAGGCTTGTCTAAACACCACTCAAATGTAAAACAAAGGCAGAATATAGGCACTGTGCTGTCCTCCCATTGGCACAGCAGCCTGTTGTTGCAATGCAGCATCCCCTCACTCCCTCTGGCTCTCTATCCTCCACCATTCTCCCACTTATGCAGTCAACACGGAGACGAGAGGACAGAGGCAAAAGCCATTGAACACTGCCCCCTACTGGAGATAAACATGGAGGACAGCCAGTGTTGGATAAATGAGTCGGACCAAATCAAGAGGCTCAGATGCGGGATTATCCAACACGGCAACTGTCACCGAAAGTTTCCAGATCAACAACATTATCCATCCATTATTGTGTGCTTTTTGGATGCCAGTATCTTTTATAATTGAAAAGTGAATAATGAATTAATTTAAAGAAACTGTACGTAATATGCACTCATAGTGGTTTAATAAAGTCATTTCCATTTCAAGCCCATTTTTGTAGCCTGAATCAAACCTGCTGTAACACACATGAAGCTTCAAAGCACTGATTACTCATGCAAACCAACTGCTGGAGTTTAGACAGCAACAAAACTTTAATTTATACTAATGTGTTGTTCCATTTTTATGTTTCTGAATTGTAAGCCAAAATATCTAAAAAACAAACTGGCCCCAAAAAGAAAGACTCATTCTGATCTCTGATTGGATAATCTGCTTGAAAATCCTAACATAATTAATATGGACATCGTGTCCATTTTATTTTTGATCAAGAATAACAAATATGATTTGAACATGTTGGCCTATTATCTGAGAAACCAATAAAAGATACAAATGCAATTTAAAATGAAAACATGACATACCGTCCCTACGTAAGTCAATACGTAGCATTAACATAATCTATTGTTGTATCTGCTCCTCAAATAAGACGCCTTTAAAATCTGCTGTGGCAAATGTTGTCAGTTTTCCAGCCCTGCACATCCCAGCCTCACAGATTGTACTCAGAACATATGTAGTCCTGTATGCTAGTCATGTAGTCACATATAATTCCTTGTACCATCAGTCGACTGTCTTTTGACTGGGTTTGCAGCCAGAGGTGCCAGTCTAAAACCTGAAGAATACAAGAGCAGCATGTCGCTTTCAGAAATGTGTGAGATTGGGATTGAAGCAAGAAGAAATCGTTAAAACAGACATATATAGATTTTGTGTCTGTTTCATAGTAATTGTACAGCGTCTGCTGCGTTTCTCCTGTGTATGGGATGTAAATGAGAGGCGCAGTTCAAAAGATTTTGACACGGTTCTGCTTTCTTTAAACAAGCATTGAAAAAAAGACATAATTTGCAACAGTTAATGGTACGGCATATGTTAAGATGTGTCTAATACAGTTGTTTCTATGCAGTCTACATCTACACTTGTGATTATCTGTAATGTGTTGACTATGTCGGCCTTGGGTGAGTTCACAATCTCTTTTGCAAGAGATTGTGAATTTCAATGAGGATTCTGAGTTAAATAAAGATGGTAGAATTTATTGTCCTTGTCAGAAATTCAGTTTGCAGTGAGAAAAAAAAAAAAACTTTTGCAACAAGCAGAAGACACTCCATGACACCCAGCAATACAATGTGGGCAGATGATCGTGGACCTTGAGTTTGAAACTCTGGCATTATTTGTGTTTGGCCTCGGTTGTAAAAACATGTGTAAATAAACAATTTAAATGTTATAAAAATGTTCTTCTAAGTAAAGTTTGTTTATGTCCCAATGGCTTGTGATTGTTCCTTCACTTCTGTTACCAGTGAAGGCATGACCTCGATTTCAAAATCAATCATTTAAACATTTTTGGAAAAACGTTATTCAACTTACTCTTATAATTGAATTTCAAGATCAAAGAATTGGCCCTCAAAATTATAAAACCGCAAAAAACATTATTGTTTTTTGGTGGGTTTTGTTAACCTTGAACACTGGCTGTGAGCTAAAAGCAAAGAACAACACGAGGATTCGCACAAAACAACAGCACAAAATTGGAGCACCTCTTACCTCATTCTGCAGCATAACCCCTGCTCTCTGTCAATGATACTGTCCAGTTAAATGAAGCATCAGCAGCGGCCTCACAGCAGGGGGCCAGACCTGAGTCAGAGAGACGTTTTCAATTGTATTCCTCCAAAGGTCACGCTCGGCTCTCTGCATTCTGTCACCGCAGCTTTTGTGGGAGGGATCCGTGGATATTGATCTCGGGATGGACGTCCCAAAGCTCCCGCCACAGCAGGTGAGGGCTGGGGGCCGATTTGATGACGGGAGAGGGGCCAGAGGGCAGAACTGAGGCTGGGGTGATGGGGAGAGAGGGGAATATGGCTGGGTTGTAAATGCAAAACATGAATTATTACGGATACACTTGTATCTTTTCTAACTGTTTTTTTTTTTCAATATGAACATTTGCATCTTGTTTTTCAATATAAACACAATTAAGAGGATTAAAAAAAGGAACCATAACATATAGCTCTCCTTGTATATAAGTCTCTTCATGGCCTCGCACCAAAATACATAAACATGCTGGTGCCGTATGAGCCCGCTCAAACTCTGAGGAGCGCGGGGACTGGCCTCCTGTTGGTGCCCAGAGTTGGGTCTAGACATGGGGAGGCAGCGTTCCAGACCTATGCACCTAGAATCTGGATCAGTCCTCCCGAAGGTGTGAGACAGGCTCCTTCTTTAGCTATGTTCAAGTCCAGGCTGAAAACAGTTCTTTTCAGCCGTGCCTTCGACTGATCATCAGGAAAACTGATCACAATTTATTACTGTATTGATATGTATATTTATTCATTTTCTTAAACTGTCTTTTGTATCTGTTTTTACAGTGTGTTTTTAAATTGGTTTTAAATGTTGCCGATGTGAAGCACTTTGGGTTTCATTCTGTATGAACTGTGCTATAGAAATTGATTGATTGATTGATTGATAGTTTGAAAAGGTGTTATGGATATAACGTATTGTATTTAGTTACAACTCCTTTTTCACGCACACACGCACACACACACACACACACACACACACACACACACAAACACACCTGCACCCAATAAACACAAGCCCAAACACTCTGACCGACAAAATTAAATGATGAAACCCACCTATTGATTCATTTCGTCTTTCTTCTATTGCGATGTGTGTTATGAAGCTAAAGTATGGTAATCTTTTTAAGCTGTTCTAAAGTTCTAAATATTGTGAATTTATTTGAAAGTAAAATTTGGTGTGCCACAAGGATCGGCACTCGGGTCAATTCTCTTCGCACTCTGCCATTAGGTAACATCATTAGAAACCATGATATTGCTATATTTCTTGTGTTTGAACTGATTGATTATCTAATTCAACAGTTGTGTAAAGTCCTCCAAGATAACTACTGTTGTGATTTAGAGCGATACAAGAATAAATTGAATTTAAATTGAAAAAAAGTTTAGCTTTTTACATTTGCAGATACAACTGTCAAAACACATTATTATCTAAAACTATTAGAAACACTTTCTTAATATACATATTTTTTTTACAATATATGTCTACACCTTTTTAAGAGCTCCAGCCAGATTTATGTGACAACAAGATCACGTCATTCAATATTTGAAGCAATAAGACAAAAGTGAGAATCAAAATTCCGTTGTTGCCCCCTTTCGAAATTTGTATCCAAATCACAGGTAGAGGGCCATCTGGCACGGACGTTCACTAGAATGTGTATTCATGTCCCAAAATATTCTTCCCTTTTAGAGAAACACACCAAACAAACATACAAAATACTCTCTATAAGACATATCAGCGTAAACAAGTTACTCATTTGATACACATTTTAGACATAAAAATCAGAACATACAGCCATACAAGAACTTTCGAGAAACAGGCTCCTCATTTTAAATCCAAGGCAAATGCACATTGTAGGTTGTATCTCAATATAACATTTAGAGAAACAGCTCAATAAACCCATTATCCTGGATTGACTGCACAATCCGACTCAATGCAAGATGCAAGAAGATATTTGCTATTTTTGTTCTTTTTTACATGACGTCTTGTGCTGTTTAGAGTGTGTGCGTGCGATGGCTTTATTTCCGTCTCCCTCCCCATATTCTCTTCTCTGCACTCTTTCTGACCTATCTGCAGGTGTGGCACACAGCACAAGAGAATGAATCACATTTTCACTTACCATGACGAATTAAAAGATCTTTTAAAGCAAGCAAATGTTATCTTTATTTGGCGGTCCCTATCAATAAAGCCCGTATCGATCCACGTCTTTTTATCCATACGGTCTGGTGCGGCGTATGGGGGACATTAATCACATCGAGTCGGATTGGTGTGGTCATCGTGGATCTTTACAAACAGCCGCCTGGGATACAAATGGGCCCAGCGCTTGTTGAATTAGTGCCTTTGAGTTGCAAGGCTGACTGAAGACTCCTGTCCGCCTGTGTGTGTGAATGAGCAATTGATTACGGCCTTGTGCGGACCAGGGCGACAGCTAATGCCACACGATTGAACGCCTGTGTGTACGAGGGGCCAGCCAAAGATCACAAATGCTTGTTTGATTATTAAAGTTTCCCAAATACAACATTGATCAAGTACGGGGAGAATTAGTGGAGGTTTAAAGGTCGTCCGAATAGCTTTTCAGACGAGATATTTACCTAATTAGCTGAATGTATCCACTACAGTAAGACTTTCTACTGAGAAACTCGCACAGCGCCCACGCCCACGCTCCACTCGTTCAAGAGATGCGATAGAAAAATGTTCTAATAAAGTGAACACTGCAGGCTTTTTTTTTGTTATTTAGATTTTTTGGACACTGAACTGTTGGAGTTCATACATGCCGTGCAAATGAGATGATTTACGCCAGCTCTGGCGTGTGAGTATGAGCTGAACAACTCAACATTCTTTTATCAGTTCACCTTTCAATGAACCGGAATATTGCTGTTCTCAATAATCAATCAATAAAATAATGTCAATCCAGGTTGAGAATGTTTTTGTTTGGTTGTGCATATGACTTATTCTAGTTTACACAATACTTCTTATTGTATTTGACTGTATTGTAAAGCACTATGCATTTCTTCTGTCTGACTTGTGCATAGGAATAAATGTAATTGGTCGATTGATTAATAGTAAGTAAGTATTGTTTATTTACATTTGTGCATTTTACAGACCAAGGTCACCCAAAGCCCTTTACAATGTTCAGATATTGTTTCATTCATTACATACACAGAGCTGACGGAAGCGAGTCGCTGAACACACTGGCGCATCAAAGCCCCAATCAACGCCATCCGTTCACTCTTTCAGTTACATTCATACCTTTTGTGCAAGTTTTTAGTGATCGGGGAAACCAGGGAGAATATGCACACTCCACTCAGAAAGGCCCTGTTCCGACCGGGATTTGAACCCAGAACCTTCTTGCTGAGAAACGAGAGTGCTATCCACTCAGCCGTCACATTCAAATCTGTCACGGTGGCACTTAAGATGTTTTTCATATTGAACTTGTGATGTTTTATATACAACCCATTCGTCTATTATATGGTAATGATTTGTGTAAGTGTATTTGATAAGTGAAGGAACAACACAAGATAATGTTCAAATTTGGACTTTCACTTCTCTTTCATTGTTTGGAAAAATGTGCAGTCCGCAGATTGTCTCACAGATTGTACTTCCAATGTCCTCTACCCTATGTTCTGGATGGAGAGGACAACTCAAAGAATGCAAAAAGAGTTAAATGATTAATCACTTTAAAGGTACTATGATGATTTCACCAAATTTTATAAAAGTACCGCCCTCTCCACTTTTGAACAAAACTCTCTAATTTGACGGGGAAGAATCACCCGGGAGTAGAAAATCCTCCTGTATACCTTTAAGTACAATTTTCTGATGTAAACGATGGATTTTCAGTGATAGCATACATGCCATAGGTTATTTCAAACATGCACACCATAGTTTCTTATCAACCAACATAACAGACAAGGATATGTAAGACTTGAAATGCATTGGATGAACCCACACACAATACAATACAATATAATACAAAAGAATACCATACAACAGTTCTCATTCAGCAAATTACATACCTGTATAACACTGTACGGTTATTGTGCAAATTTCCCTGCTTCAATGACACTGTACCTTTAAGAACAGTTCGCCCCTCACTGACATGCGCACAGGAGTCCAGGTGGGCAGTCTGCTGTAGGAGGGCAACGAGTGAAGAGCGTGCTCTCTCTTAGCTTTCTCACATCGTGTTGTTGTGCGTTTAATGACTATATAACCACCCACACACACACACACACACACACACGCTCTTGTTTCACGCATCCATCCCAACCTGTTCAAGCTGCAATAAACCTTTCATTCTACTACTCTGGATCTGCTGCAGTCTTTCTTGCCGAAGACTTAGGCCGGACTTATATATATAATCTTTTACAAGTGGTCCTTCGAGCCGGATGTCCAAGAGCTGCGTCATGGCCGCATCCAGAGACTTTTATGATGAGCAGCCACTACACAGTCCCCGTTCCAGCAGAGTGCGTCGCATTCCCGGACATCTGGAAGACTATGAGGTTGGCTTTTCATTCCAACGTCCATCACAAAGCCCCGAGAGCTGGTCAACTTCATCCTCTCATGATGATGATGAAGACAGAATGCAGCATTTGGAGTCAGCTTATCAGGCACTCGGTCGACAAATGAGGGAACTTCAGACGGAAATGAGCAACGTTCGGCTGACACAAAGCGCCCAACCTGCCAAGCATAGATATGCCCAGGAACAACAACAGCAGTACAGCAGCATGCCACAGCTCCAGCCTCTTCAGTCATGGCATGCATCAGAACGTTCAGGGCATTCTTCCCCCATAGTACCTGTGTCACCCATAGCTCCTGTGCAGCATCCTCCCCCGACAGGGCAAGCTAGTGTTTCAGCACCAGTGACAGCTCCTTTACTACCAGCAGTGCCTCCAAACTACACAGCAGGTATAGTCCAGGGAGCAGAGACCGGTGAGTACTGGCCACCGCCTCCTCCTCCAGTAGATCCCGCTCAAGCAGCTCTGTTGCCCCCTCTGTACGACACCTCACACAGAAGTGTAGTTGCACCGCATGTAGTTGCTCCTCAAGGCACGCCGTACAGTGCACCTGCTCCCTCACAGCCATATAGTGCACCTGTCTATTATCCACATAGTAGACAGCAGTATGCGTATCCCAATGCATATACTCCAAACAGCACTCGTATGCCTACAGCACCTGTCAACCAGCCATATTTAGCTCCTCCCCCTGTCAGTGCTAATGTCCCTAGCATGGTGGAAATGGCTATTGCCTCCTCATACGGCATCCCCAAGCCTAAGCTTTCTATATTCAGTTCAGGGAAGGAGAGTGATTTTCTGTTACTCAAAAAAGGTTTAGACAGTGTGCTCAGCCCCCACAGCCATCTAACTGAGGATTACAAATACCAAGTCCTCTTGGATCATTTGAAATTCCCTGCCGCTTTGCAGATAGCAAAGAGATACATAAACAGCTCCACTCCTTACTCTAGTGCTTTGTTAGCTCTTCAGCAGCGTTATGGTCAGCCTAGACAGCTAGTGCAGGCAGAGCTCAAATCCATCCTGACCGCACCCCCAGTTAAAGCAGGTGATTACCAGGGCATGGAGGATTTTTCTGCAGCTGTTAGCACACTGGTAGGCATGTTAAGTTCTATGCAGGGCCCATCATCATCTGAGTTGCAATGTGGTTCCCATGTTGACACACTGCTCACAAAACTACCCCCGTACTTAAGAGATTCCTTTGCTGAGTACTGTTTCAGCAGGGGTATTATTCTGAGTGGCAGTGACAGGACATACACGCTACCAGACCTAGCTGAGTGGCTAGAGAGGAAAGTGCAGACCCTACAGGTATCCCGTAGAATAGGGACACATTCATACGACACCAGTAGTGTGGAGAGGAGGGCAGTCAAAACACAGAAGCCCAAGTCTACAGCTGTATTGTTTGGCAGCAATGAATCAACTCAGCCCACAGTCACACGCCTAGCTTCCCCTAGTGCACAGCAAGGAAAGAAGAGGGATAGATTCAAACCATACTGTCCCTACTGCTGCAATCAGGAGCACTACCTCAACGGGTGTGATGACTTCACCAAGCTCTCAAATCCAGCCAGGGCAGCTTGGATAAAGGACAATAAGAAATGTTGGAGGTGTGGCCGAGGACATTCTCCAGCTAACTGCACATTAAAGAAGCCTTGTTCTACCTGCGGAGAACAACATCTTCCTGTGCTGCATGATGTGGCCCAGGCAGAGAGCATCCTGACTGTTAACACTACCTCAAGTATGGTATTAGTTGATCAAGCCAGTCACTCAGGCAGAGTGATGTTAAAAGTAGTGCCAGTCCGCGTATACAATGGGAGTAAATATATGGACACACATGCAGTGTTAGATGACGGCTCTGAGCGCACTGTTATCCTGCCTGCTGCCGTTCAACAGCTTGGTCTCCAACAACAGCCTGAAGTACTCTCTCTAAGGACAATAAGACAGGAAGTAGTCCAAATTAAAGGTGCCACTGTGTCATTCCAAGTGTCATCCCCAACAAAGAATGGACTGAGATTCAAGGTTCACAACGCGTTTACAGCTGCAGAGTTGAATCTGGCTGAGCAATCCTGTTCCCCTGAGCATCTCCAGAGAGGCTACAGACATTTAAGGGATGTTCCGCTGTCCTCCTTTAATAAAATCCAACCACTGATTCTCATTGGATCAGACAACCCACATCTCATCGTTCCAAAGAAACCTGTCATATCTGGCCCCATTGGTGGTCCTGTCGCTGTGTGCACAGCCCTGGGATGGGCAGTGCAGGGACCAGCCAGCTTCCTCCAACAATCTCCTCGTGACAGCAGCTGCCTGCACGTATCAGTTCTGTCCCCTGCAGAGGAGCTACATCAACATGTGGAACGACTGTGGCAATTGGATTCACTGCCCTTTCGTTCCACCAAAGAGGTCACTCGCTCTGGAGAAGACAAAGCAGCACTAGAACAACTAGAGCAGCAGAGTGTTAGGGTCACAGTAGATGGTGTGAGTCGATATGCAGTCCCCCTCCTGCGAAAGAAAAATGCATCTCACCTATTGGCTTCACCTAATGCAGTCATGCCTCTCCTTAGAGCCACCGAGCGCCGCCTCACACATAATCCTGAACAATTGCTTATTTACAATGAAGAAATGGACAAACTAGTCAGATCAGGTTATGCAGTGAAAATCAGTCCAGAAGAAGTAAACAACTCAGACGAGTCATGGTTCCTGCCACACCACCTCGTTTTCCACAATAATAAATCCAGAGTTGTTTTTAACTGTTCTTTTGTGCATCAACAGGCCTGCCTTAATAAGAACCTCATGCCAGGCCCGACTCTCGGTTCTTCACTCCTTGCAGTGCTTCTGCGTTTCAGGGAACATCTGGTGGCCATCAACGGTGATATTCGAGGCATGTTCCATCAAGTGAGGCTCCTCCCACAAGATCAACCACTGCTTCGTTTCCTGTGGAGAGATGGAGACAGAGAGCGCAGTCCTGATGTCTACGAGTGGCGTGTGTTACCCTTTGGTACGACATGCAGCCCATGTTGTGCTATATATGCACTACAGCGCCACGTCCAGGACTACAGTGAGGGTAATGAGGATATCGTCAATACAGTACTGCAGTCTATGTATGTGGACAACTGCCTGCAGTCATTGCCCTCTCCAGAGCAGGCCAAACAGCTCATCGACAGGCTCAGAGCTCTCCTTGCCCAGGGAGGCTTTGACATGCGTCAGTGGTCCTCTAATGTACCTGATGTTGTCTCTCATCTGCCAGCTGAAGCAAAGTCCGCCACCTGTGAGTTATGGCTCAATGCTCATAAAGAAGACCCTCTCAAGTCTACTCTGGGCCTTCTGTGGAACTGCAGCATAGACGCACTCAGTTACAGACATAGAGCTATTCCTCTTGCTCAACCCACTCTGAGGTATGTGTACCGTGTGCTGGCCAGCCAATATGACCCACTCGGCTTTCTTATTCCCTACACAACCCGTGCTAAGGTGCTGGTTCAAGCGCTGTGGAAGAAAGGCCGAGACTGGGATGAGCCAATCACAGATGAGCTCCTTCCGGTGTGGCAGGCATGGGAGAGTGAACTACCTCAGCTGCAGCATGTGACAATACCCCGATGTTACCTCTCAAATGTCCCAGCTGACACGCCACTGGAGTTGCACATCTTCACAGACGCCTCAGAGAGAGCATATGGTGCAGTTGCATATTTGAGGGCGGAGCATGACTCTACAGGTGCATTGCAAGTGTCCTTTGTTCTGGCCAGGTCCCGAGTAGCCCCAAAGAAGCAGCTCTCCATCCCTCGATTGGAACTGTTCGCCGCTCTGGCTGGTGCTCAGTTAGCAAAGGTCATCCAAACAGAACTAACGCTGCCGTTGAAAACTACAACACTGTGGACAGATTCAACTACTGTCCTCCATTGGATCCAGTCAGAGTCACAGCAGTACAAAGTGTTTGTAGGTACTCGTGTTGCTGAAATTCAGGAGCTGGTGGGTGCAGACAACTGGCGCTATGTTCCAACCAATGACAATGCTGCTGATGATGTCACGCGTGGCAAACATCTTAGTGACTTGGCAAAACCCAGCCGCTGGACCTGTGGGTCTTGTTTCCTGTATCAGCCCCACAGGGAATGGCCAGTTAAGCCTGCTACGGCCTCTGTTCCACCAGAAGAGAGCCGAGACGTGACCTTTTGTGGTCTTGTGACGGCCACGCCCACAGCTCCAGACCCGACTCAATATAACTCCTGGTCTCAACTGGTCCAAGCGACATACCTGTCCCAACACGGGGCGGCTGCTCCTCCGATGACTGCCTCTGACCGCATTGAGACTGAAGTTGCAGTTCTCAGACGAGCGCAGGAGGAGAGCTTCGCTGCAGAGGTCGCTGCTCTGCAGACAGGTAAGCCACTCAGTAATAACAGTCGTCTGCTTTCTCTTTGCCCAGAATATGACAGTGCGGTGGGCTTGGTGCGTGTTGGTGGTCGGCTGAGGAAGGTAGAAGGCTCGCCGGACATGATACATCCTATTGTCCTAGCGCCTGACCATCCTGCTACCCGGCTGCTGATACAACACTACGACACCGAGTTGCTGCACCCTGGTCCCGAACGTGTGTTTGCAGAAATAAGGCGGACATATTGGATCCTCCGTGGGCGCCAAGCTGTAAAGAAGCACCAACGCAGCTGTGCAGAGTGCCAAAGATGGCGCAACAAACCCACTGTACCACGTATGGCAGACCTTCCAGATGCACGCCTTCATTTACATAAACCTCCTTATTGGTCCACAGGAATCGACTATTTTGGGCCATATGCTGTCAAAACAGGTCGCAGACAAGAGAAGAGGTGGGGCATAATTTTCAAATGTTTGACAACAAGATGTGTGCACCTTGACCTCTTGTGCAGTATGGACACAGACTCATTCCTACTTGCCTTACGACGTTTTGTGGCCAGACGGGGCAAGCCTTACGAGATCCTAAGCGACAGAGCCACTAACTTCCGGGGGGGCGACGGAGAACTGCAGAGAGCATTTGAGGTACTGGAGCCAGCCTTGAAAGAGCAGCTGGCTGAGCAGAGAATCACCTTCAAATACAATCCACCGTATGCACCGCATTTCGGAGGTATTTGGGAGAGGGAGATCAAATCTGTTAAAGCAGCCCTCCAAGTCGTTCTTAAAGACAGAGTACTCCCTGAGGAGGTCTTGCTGACCGTCCTCATAGAAGTGGAAGGTATCCTCAACTCAAAACCGCTTGGATATGCCACTTCAGACATTGCAGACCCAGACCCCATTACTCCTAACCTTCTTTTGATGGGGCGGCGGGATGCCTCTCTGCCGCAAGCCATCTATGCCAGTAGTGACTTGATTGGACGCCGTCGTTGGAAACACAGCCAGGTGTTAGCCGATCATTTCTGGACCCAGTTCACAAGGAACTACCTGCCTAACCTCCACCAGAGGAGGAAATGGCAAATTCACACGCCGGACCTCACCACTGATCAGGTGGTCATGGTTGTGGATCAACAACTGCCAAGAGCACGTTGGCCCATTGGTCGGGTCACTAAGGTGATCCCAAGTGACGATGGTCGAATCCGCCCTGCCAATGTGGACATTAAAGGGACT